GGACCCATGCGAGCTCGCACGAACAGCCCCCTGTCGTACGCATAGGCCGCGTCCTTCAGCGCAGGCATCGTCATCAGCTCCGGGTTGCCGTCCGTCGGCGCCTCATGATTGCGCACGTAGTCCACCAGCTCGGCCTTGTTCTTGAGTCCCAGAGCAGGAAGCACCCGCATGGCATGCGCCTCCTTGTCCCGTTGGACATGGCGGAGCTCGGTGTCCCAGGGGCCAGGCTGCCTGCTGGCCCGGCGGAGCCGGAGGCTCCAGGCGACACGCCCACGCTCACGAGCGCCTCGCCTTCCTCCTGAGGGGTCCTCCTCTGCTTCGCGCCTTCCTCCACCAGCCGATCGATCAGCACCTTAATGCTCAGGTGCTCCGCCCGCGGGATCTCCAGCACCGTCGCCATGTCCTCCAGCACATCCCAGGGAACACGTAGGAGCTGATCTCGATCACAGAGCAGCGGCCGGCCTTCGGAGGAAGTCGGCCTTGGCCTCTCGGGCTCCGGTTCCCAGTAGAGCCGAGTGACCGTGTTCCTCGGCGGGTCGAGCTGCTCGAACATCTCCTCGTTAGATAGTCCTTCGATCCACCGCAGATCCTCAATAATATCGCCCGTATCCATGCAAAACGTCTCTCGAGCCCGCACCAGCTTCCAGTTCGGACCATCCCGATTCGAAGACTTGAGCGCCCTCGCGTTGTAGTCCTGGCGCTCCCACATCTCGAGACCAGAGACATCGACCTCGCCATCGGGCACGTTCCAGTCGTCCTCATCCTCGGGAACGGGGACCACGTCCTCCACTTCCGCGGCCCGCCGGTCTGCCGCACGTGCAGCCAACTCAGACTTCATCGTCATCAGCGCCTCCTGCACCTTGGACTTGACGCGGAAGACCGCCTCCGCTGTCGGACCCCCCGACGGGGGCTTCCAGCTGTCACGCGGGAAGATCGGCATCGAGTAGTGCCCGCCGTCGGTCTCGTTCAGACGCTTCGGTGTGATGCCGAGCTGGTCCGACTTGAACGAGTCCTCCGCGAAGTTGATGTCTGCGCCCATGCCGCGCAGAGCGTCCTTCCCGATGAGCAACTGCAGCACCGAGTCCTCGATGACCGAGAAAGTCACGTAGGCGTCCACGCCGAAGACCGACGCCGGCACCGTCCAGCGCTCCTTGGAGATCTGCTTCTGGCCGTTCCCGAAGCGGAAGATCGCGAGCTGCGGCTCCTTCTTGATGTAGCTCTCGATGCCCAGCTCCTTGCAGCGATCCTCGAGCCTATTGGCGTACACGTCGCCCGACACCGTACTGTTGCAGGCTGAGTCGAGCGTGCCATCGTCTCCTTGGCCCCCGATGGACGCCGATGAAAGCAACACCTCCTGAATAGCTCGCTCGTCGCTTGACCCATCCGAGGGCATCGGACCGGCAGAAGAATGGGGGCGCAGCCCAGCACCCAAACCTGGGCCGTCCGCCGACCCTGCGCTATGGTCGACGGAAGAAGAGGGGGCACCACTCCCCATCCCAGGATTCGGCCCATCTGCTGGCCCTCCGCCGACGGAAGAAGAGGGGGCACCACTCCCCATGCCAAGGACTTGCGTCGCCATCAGGACTTCATACGAACGGGTCGTGCTTGCCAACACGTCATCCTCTGCTGCCTGCTGGCCGGCGCCCTCGTAAATATCTGTGTAGTCCCGCCCACACATCGCGCACCGGACATCGCGGTCGTCTCCCTCGTAGACGCAGTCCGGGCAGAAGGGCGGGTAGTCCAGGTGACTGCGCTTGGTGTCCGTCTCCTCCGTCGCTGTCACCTCGAACGCCGGCGTCACGCACTGCACGTGCCCGTAATTGCTGGTCACCAGCACCTCGAACACGTCCTTCTGAATCCTTGTCGCCTGCGCGTCCAGAACTTCTGGCGTCTGCAGCAAATCCACCACCATTGCGTCCTTCGGCTTAAACTGTTGCTGCAGCTTCTTCTTGGCCTGCTCAGCCTTCCACTCCTTGAGCTTCGGGCAGCATGCGTCGCCTGCCCAGTGGCCCTTCTCGCCGCAAGTGTGGCAATCCGAGTTCTTCGTGTCGGGGCTGCTCTTGCCGAAGCTCGTCATGAACTTCTTGCCGCTGCTCGAGCTCGAGCCTGAGCCTCTGCCGCCGCCCTTGCCACCAAACTTGCGATCCTTCCGAAGTTCTTTCACGCGCTTTTTGCTCTCACGCACCGTGATGAGGCCCTCCATCATCGATTCCACACCGCTCTCTAAGTTCCCGAGCTTCTGGGCCAACTCTGGGTCGTTCTCGGCCTCCTCGAGCACCGTCGAGAGCGCCTCCAGCTCCGCGGCGAGGATGCCCTCGATGTCGTGGTCCTGCTCCGTCGCCAGGGCCTCGTCGACCGTCTCGTCGTCGGCGTCCCCATCGAAGCTACCGAGCTCCGCATTCAGCGCTTCGAGCTCGCCCTCGTCCAGCTGGCTGATCCCGTCGAGGTCCTCCGTCACGTGTGCCTCCTTGAAATTCCGAATCACCTTCTTCTTCAAGAGCTGCGTCCCCGGGCGATTGAAGGTGATCGTCCTCCTGTTGCGGTCGAACGCGCTAGGTCGCCGCTCCGTCACGTGCAGGTTGGGGAACACCTGCATCATGGCTGGGACCACCTCGCGAATCTCCATGCTGCCGCTGGTCGAGGTCATCAGCATACTCTTCTGCGTCTCGTTCAGGCCCATCTTCTCGATCAGCCACCAGCCCGCCGTTCTCGCCGGCACGGCCACATCTTCTTCGTCCAACTGGCTGCGAGCTTCACCGAACCTGATCATCCACGAGTTCAGATCCTCGTCGGCTCTGCGATGCAACTGCTTATAAAAGTAGTTCATCACCTGGTCTCGCCTCGTCGAGTCATCCACGCCCATCGTCCCGAGCACCTCCATCAAGCGGTTGATGCCCGCCATGGTGTCGGGCTCCTGCCAGTGGCCGCGCTCCTCGTGGTCCCCGTCCTCGGCCGCCGCGGCAGCCGCTTCCTCGTCCAACTCCTCGGGGATCCACTCCCAGGTCTTGGCGCGCAGCTCCACCATCGGGATGGACTCGCCGAGCGTCTTCGCCGGGCCTGTCAGGCACCGAACCATCCGTGCCGCCTAGCTCCAGCTCGCGTCCAGATTGATGCCCTCAATCCACATTGCCACGTCTTTCTTGTACCGCCGCCACCGCCCAGGGCTGCCGTCCCACGTCGGAATGCCCTCGAGGTCGCGGCTCGTCCATGCCGGTGATTGCACCCAGCTCATTGATCTTCTCTTTTGCCAGGTGCCTCCACCGCCTCCGCTCGGCCGCGGAGGGAGGGCGTCCGGGCTGAGCGTGCCGCCGCCCATCGCTGGGAATCGCCCGGGAGACGATGCCTGTCGCATCGTCCCTGTCGTCGCTCTCCGTGTACACGTCCAGGTAGTACTCGTCCTTCAGCACTCGCTCTGCACTGAGAATCGTCGTAGATCTCGCCCTCGGCCGATGGCGCCCGCGCAGCGGCGGGCTCCGCTACCACTGCGGAACCGGGTTGGGCCTCCTCTTGACCTCCCGATCCCGCAGCGGGGGTCGGCGGCGGAGCCCGCAGGGCTCGAGGTGAGAGGGAGGCCCCTTTTCCAGTCCTGCTACCAGGAACCAAGTCGCCTCACGCCGGCTCGAGCCGAGCCGGCAGCAGTGGGAGCGAGAGAAGAGAGAGAGAGAGAGAGAGAGGGAGGGGAAAAAGAGTACATAAGGGGCTTAAGGGCAGAGCAGGGGGCATATCCAATCCGAGGGGCATATTTTTCCACAGCATCCTGGGGGCCTCTTGGGGCTTCCTGGCCACATCTTGGGACCCTCTTGGGGCACCCTTTGGGCCATCTTGGGTAAGATCGATCACAGGAGGGGGGGCACTATTAGGGCCCCCCTCAGGAGGCCAAAATGGGGCCAACACCGTAATTAGGAAAACCAATGATTTTGGCTTCCTCGCCGAGGCTGTTTTGGACGCTCCGACACCTCGCGAACCCCCCTGTCCAGGTCCATGGGGAGGGGGTAGGGGCAGGGGTAAACCCCTCCCCGAAGGGGAAGAAGGAGGGGTGGACGAGGAAACTCCCTAAACCACCGACGCCCAGAGGGCTGGTGGGATTATGGTTATGATTTTTTTTTGTGTTTCTCTTCAATGGAGGGTTATCATTGCAGGGGCCATCATATCTCCCCAGATCTCATGGCACCCTCTTCTTCTTTCAATTCGTCTCCTGGTCCCCCCCCCTGGGCCGAGCACTTGCCTCGGGCCATGAGCTGCGCCTCCCCCTCTTGGACGTCCCTCTCCTAGACTTCAGTCGGGCCTGTCCCTCTACATGGGGGAATTTTATTGGAGTTTTTTTGGGCATTTTGGAATATTTTCTGCGTATTTTTTCATTTTTCGCTCCCGACAGAGAGGTGTCCCTGGCCCAAGGTACTCCAAGGCCTTCGCGGACCCTGAGATCCTGCCGTCTCGATCTGTTTCGCCAGGCGTTTTCGCCCACGTCGGATCTCAGGGAAGGCCCTCACGGTTTCCATGGGCTCCAGAATGGAGCGAAACGCTGGGGGCACCTTGGGCCAGTGACACCTCTTGGCAGCCCCCCGAGCGCGCCACGTGGTGGAGGCACCGGGGGCCAGCCTTCTCCGAGGGCGGCGGGTCTCCGCAGAAGCCCTCGCGCTTCTTGAGAAGCCAGCTGAGGCTGCTGGAGGAGGCCCAGAGCGGGGGCCCCCAAGCGGTGTGGTGACCACACCGCGTGGTGAGTCAATGGGGACTCGGGGTCACTACGCGGTTTTGGGACTCGAGTCGTTCTCCGAGGGTGCCTCGAGCGACGGGCCTCCGAGGTCACAAGACCGTGTGGTGGCGGACCGCGCGGTGAGGTCGCTGGGGATTCCGAGGTCGCCACGCGGCCCGTCACCACACGGCTTCGTGGCCCCGAACCGAGGGCCTCCCAGAAGGCCAGAGGCCTCCCCTAGGAGGCTGCCGAGGAGGCCCGCCCCCTCTGCCCGTCCCCCCCCCCCCCGCGGGCGCGCTGCCGGCAGGCGCGCGACAACATGTTCCTGCTGGGCGACATGAAGGTCGAGCAGGCCCTGCAGCTCAACGGCGGCCGGCGGTCGTGCGACTTCACGGAGGTTCGGGTCCCCCGCGCAGCTGGGCTCGGCGCCAGCGGTGGCTCAGCCAGAGCGCCAGATCCCGCAGGATCCTGCAGAGTGCCAGTGGTCTCAACTGCGCAGTCGTTCCTGCCCGAGTTGGGCCGAGCCGGGTTTGGGGGAGCCGCTCGAGGCCAGGCCGAGGCTGGGAAGCCCCGCGAGGAATCGCAGCGCCTTTTTCTCTGACTCGGCTGAGCTGGGTTTGCGCCGAGCCTGGTCTATCTCACCGAGCGCGTTCCACTACTCGCAAAGTGCCTACTCGCAAACGCCTGGACAAAAACATGTTTTGCTCGATGTAATGGAGCGTGAATCCCCCGCGGATGATTTTGCCCATTTGCGAGTAGCTACTTTGCGATGAGTGGAACGCGCTTGTCGATTATCCACGCCTGCACGAGCGGCGAACATGTTCGTATCCGCGCCCTCGCGGTCTGGATTTTGGGGCGCGACCCCGCGGATACGCGGTCGTACGGAGACGCTCCGCGCAGGGCATCCGCGAAAAAGCGCCTCGTATCCGCGGGGGCCTGGCCCGCGAGGCCGCGGATACGGACATGGTTTTCGCCCACGATCCTCCGGGCTCAGCATGTTGACCAGCAGCATGTTGAGGCCGCTGGCCCGGGAGTCGACGACGATCTCTCGGGGAGACGCAAGACTTGGGCTCGGGGAGGAGGAGACGGAGGAGGAGCAGCAGCAGAAGGAGAAGAAGTAGGAGCAGGAGCAGGAGGAGGAGGAGGAGGAGGAGGAGGAGGAGGAGGAGGAGGAGGAGGAGGAGGAGGAGGAAGGAGGGGAGGAGGGGAGGGGGAGGGGGGGGGAGGGGGGAGAGGAGGAGGAGGAGGAGGAGGAGGAGGAGGAGGAGGAGGAGGAGGAGGAGGAGGGGAGGAGGAGGAGGAGGAGGAGGAGGAGGAGGAGGAGGAGGAGGAGGAGGAGGAGGAGGAGGAGGAGGAGGAGGAGGAGGAGGAGGAGGAGGAGGAGGAGGAGGAAGGAGGAGGAGGAGGAGGGAGGAGGAGGAGGAGGAGGAGGGAGGCGGAGGAGGGGTTGACCTGTTTCTTGCCCACGACGCCCGAGAGGTCTCTGACCTCCGCCTCAGCTTCTACCACGCCGCCTCCTGCCTCAAGGCCTGGAGCGACCACGAGGTGGCGAACCGCCGGCACCTCGAGGTGGAGCGCACCCGCAGGATCCAGAGGACCGTGGAGAGGGCGGTGCGGGGCGCGGGCCAGCTGGTCGTCGGGGACGAACAGTTGCATAAAACTCCCGGCCGGGAGGGGAGGGGGAAGGGGAGGGGGAGGGGAGGGGGGAGGGGGGAGGGGAGGGGGAGGAGGGAGGAGGGGAGGGAGGAGGAGGAGGAGGAGGAGGAGGAGGAGGAGAGGAGGAGGAGGAGGAGAGGAGGAGGAGAGAGGGAGAGAGGAGGAGGAGAAGGAGGAGGAGAGTAGGAGGAGGCGGAGGAGGGACGAGGAGGAGGAAGAGGAGGAGAGGAGGAGGAGGAGGAGGAGAGGAGGAGGGGGAGAGGAGGAGGAGGAGGAGGAGGAGGAGGAGGAGGAGGACTTCTTCTCCTCCTCCTCCCAGCTTCCTGGAGGATCGGTCCTCGGAGGCCTCGACGGGCGGTGCATCTGGATCTATTCTGGTTTCCCGGGCCTGGTGCCCACATGTATCCATCTCCACCGCCCGCGGGGGCCCCACGACGTCGGTCCCACAGGCAGCGGGCAGGGATCAATCTCAAGGGAGGAAAAATCACCTGGACCCGACAATTGGGGTTTACTAAACGGCCCTGGGCGTTTACGAAACAGCCCTGCCCTGTTCGATTCCTTCTTTGGGAGGGTCTACTAAACGGCCTCGCGTGTCGGGGTGGTTATCCGTAAGGGCTTCGCCCCCTGCCGCCGGCCCCCTCTCTCGGAGAATGGGCCATGGAAGAGCTAAGTCATGAGGCCTTGGCGCTGTTGTGAAGCAGTATCGAAACTTCATGCGAAGCCGAACGCAATCAGCAGAACCAACTGATCACAAGAGGGGTTACCACACCTGGCGATTGGTAAGACGTGTATGGTGTACGGGCTTGGTTGCCACACCTTGCGATTAAAGGGCCGAGGGAGTTCTAGCAGTTTGGGTTACCACGCCTTGCGATGGATGTGCGTGAGGGTGGCACCGAATTTCAGAAATGTAGCACCCCCCCTGAATTTTTGGACCCTGACCCCGCGGATCTGCGTGAGGGGTGGCACCGAATGTCAGAAAGGTGGCAAATCCCATGTGTTTTTGGACCCTGACCCTGCGGATCTGCGTGAGGGGTGGCACCGAATTTCAGAAATGTGGCAAATCCCCTGTGTTTTTGGACCCTGACCCCGCGGATCTGCGTAAGGGGTGGCACCGAATTCCAGAACTGTAGCAAATCCCCTGCATTTTTGGA